TGTGTACGTGTGTGTGTGTGTGTGTGTGTTTGTGCGCGCGCAGTGAGGCATAAATAAATCAAGTCATGCAAGCATGCTTCTCTGTATACAGTGGCTGGCAAATCTGATTAGAATTGTCTACTCAGTAAAAGCCTTCCAAGTCAGTTCCTCGTTCACGGCTTCATGACGAAAACCGGCTCCAATCTTTTTTATGTTCACTTTACTAGTGCTAGTACTAGACTATCAATTAATTGTTCTTGGTTTGCTGAAGGATTTGGGAACTAGTCATGTATTTCAAAAGCATATTTTTGTGTAAATTCTTATGTAATGTTATTAACCATTCATGTAAGACTGTTATAATGCGTAAAAGAGAATTAGATATATACTTACGAGACCACAGACATGTCTTAGGGAAAACGGTGGCGCTCATGGTCTTCAGTTTATGCGTTCTGTAGGTACGTTTTTGTGTTTGTGTTTGCCTGAACTGAGCGCTCAAGGGACAATTGAAAAGGCCCTGGGGCACCTGATTGAGTGGTTGGAGTTACCGTTTAGACAAAAGAGGAAGAAAAGCTGACAGAAAGCAGAGGACACTACAATAAAGAACTCCTCACTCATGTGCTTCAGCACTTAGATGCTGTGCTCTATGAGCACTACCCTGTGGACATGGGGCACACGAGGGGGGCCTGTTGCAAAAATCACACAACAGATCCCTGGGGGGGGGGGGGGCTTGCGGGGGGGCAGGAGCGGGCAGGGGTACCTTATGCTGGCAAAGAAGGAATTAAATCGCCCCCTTCTTCCCCTTTCCCCTTCAGGATAGAAACTCCCGCTTACGATCAGGCATTCATAAAACCTCTTCCATGTCTCTGAAAGTATGGGTGCGCCTTCAGCGTAATTGGTGTTATACTTGACTTTTGTACGTATGGCCCAGTTTCGAGGCCCCTGTTTCATATTCTTGAACCTCGGTTGTTTGCAAGGTTTTCAAAGCTTTCATCCACTTTGTAATTTCATACCTGGGTAGGCTTTTATTTCGGAGAACCTCACGGTACAGTGTTTACGGTTTACAGGGTGTTAAACATTCTAGGATCCGCAAAGGATTGGGAACTACACGCCCATAATCAAGAGAACAGGATTCAAACCAGATATCGTTATCTGGTCAGAGACTGATGTCAAGACCCTCCTAATCGAGCTGACTGTTCCATATCAAAGTAGGATAGCTATACACAACATCAGTTCAAATTGGCAAAATATACTGAGCTTCAAAAATTCTGTCACACCTAGTACATTACGACAATTTTCGGTACAGCGTAAGAATTGCAGCAAAAATGAAAAGTATGACTTGTGTGACTTAAGAGACTCCTTGTGCAAGAGCAGCCGAGAAGTAGCACGTGGGCAAAGTGTTGGTACTGATTTCCCTCGACTACGTTGAAATCAACGCTTCCTACTTCTAGCACACAGAATTTGCTTTGAATCTCGTAGACAATGTAGTATAAACACACCTTACACACTATAAAATTCCGAACTTTTTCACGGTTGGGTCATTTTTTCTCCTGTTTCCAAAATAACAAAACTGATAAATGCAGAAAATAAAGGCACAGTGGGTATGATAAATTCTTTAATCGTGCTTCCTTATGTTGCAAGAAACGTAAATGTGTGCAGAGGACCACCATCTAACGCTTGAACAAACGTTTTAATACCACTAGAACTGTCCAAGACAAGCCTAGACGTGGCCTACCAAGGGTGACAGCTCGACGTCAGCATTGGGTTATTGTCAACACTCATGTTTGAAACCCGTTCAAACTAATAATAATAAAAATAAATAAATAGCATTTGTATAGCGCATATACACAGCAGGCTCTATGTGATTTACACTATATTATTACCCCAGCAGATCATAGAACACTCTGAAACATTCTCAGCTTCCCGGGAAGCATACAGTGCAAGCAGCTGATTAAGCGCTCAAACACTAACAAACTGACAAGATCTTTCGCTGTCTATAGCCGGGTACCCATTCTCACCTGGGTGAAGTGAGGAAAATT